CTTGCCAACTATGAAGGGGTAAGTTGATGACTTAAGTCTAGTAATGAATGCAGATATGGAGGTTCTCTTTACATTGGGTTGTACTCACTGTCTTTGCTTACAACTTGTTGCTGTTTATCATTTCAGCTGAATGTCACATCTGCAGCAATTAAATCCCTGGGTGAGCTGGACATCCTACTAGACTGGATGGAGAAATCTCATTAGAAAGCAGAAGGCATTAACGAGCCACCAACAGCCGGGGCTGACGAAGCTGCTGGGACATTGCACACACCAGTGGTGTATGGGAAAATGATGTACTGTATCAGTGCAGTTTGACACTGGTTGCAGCTGTGCTCGGTCAGACACTGGGTGTTTTCCTGGCCAGCTACACAGGCGAATGCATCCGCAGAGTCTTGCATTAAATGGAAATAGTGAGTTTGATCCAATCAGCACAGCACTCGCTTGGCTGACTTCTATCAAAGGATACTCTCCAAGGGAAAATCTAAAAGGGTTTTTCTTGCTAGCGGACATAAGCTGTGATCATTTAATAAAAGTATGGTTTAAATTATAAAATTTTTGTATAGAGAATGTATATTCACAAGCGCTGAGTGCCCACTGGAACGACTCTGGTGTAGTTAATGCTGCAGAGCAGTGCTCATAGACCTGAGCTCTGTCTTACGTGACTGCTGCTGCTGATTGCTCTGGCTGAAACAAGGGACACAGGGTGACAAATGCTTCCAAGAATAGGTCCTAGCAGGTATGTCAGGCCTGAGATGTCTGTGTTTCCTTTTGAGATGATATTTTCTGTTTTATCAGTAAAAGAAAACTCTCTATGCAAGATGCGTGGTTGCTGAATAGAAAAATGTTCTTGTATGTATCATGTAATTTACTGACAGCAGTAAGTTTTGTGGAAATCTGTTGCAATTACTATAAATAAACCCCTCTTGAAACTGTGCTGAGTCTGTTTATTAAAATTCTGAGGAATTATATGTTTCATGTTGGTAAAACTTTCTGAATTCACTGTGGTGCCCTTTCATAGCAGATGCTGTCACTCTTGTAGTGCCAGCATCCCAGGGGTGATGCATCATTCCTGACATACCAGAGAGGCCAAAGTTTAGACCTGAATGATACTAAATCACCCCAGCTTGTCCACGAGACCATTTTTATTGTGCATGATGTGTAGCTCTGGTCTGGTTTTACCCACTTGGGGCTCTGTTAGCTGCCAGTGACTGCACTCACGTCACTGGTACCCACTGGTTCTGCATGCTCTAAATCCCTTTTCCACTGTTTTCCCACAAGGTGTTAATACACGTACCACTGGAGTATCTGACAATGGCAGAGGCCTAATGTGTTAGTAAATGAACCAAGACCCCCCGAGTCAGCTCTCTGTGCAGCCAGGAGGTGTCAGGGCCCAGGTAAATGCTGCTTATTGGCACAAGCCGGAGCAGTCGGACATGTATGTCCCTGGCACAACTCTAGTCCTAATATTTCAAGCGATAAAATCTTACTGCTGCATTCATTAGACACAAGGCTCGAGTAAGACTGGAGGGTAGATCTCTGGCTCGGTGCATTTTGCTCCAGGAATCAGCTGAGCTGAGCGAGGTGCGCCCAAACTCCTGCAGCTGTGGAGACAGGAGCACAACGGGGTGCTGAGTGCTCTGCCCTGCTCCGAGCAGCAATTCTTGTCGTTAGGGTCGAGTCGTTCCTTCCAGGTCTGAATCCTTCAGGCTGGCACAAACCTCTGCTTGGCACCTCTGTTCCCAGCACTCTCCAGCTCTCCCTTTCCTGCTCACTGGCACGGCCAAGCTTTGGCACCTGGGATGGACAGAGGGCTGGCATGTTCCCAGCTTGGGCATTTTCTAATGGTGCTACACAGGTGACACGGGGAAGGCTTTAGCTACAGAAGAGGCTCTTTAACAGGATTGTGCTGTTATGGGATAAGCTCCTCATGTCCTCCAGGAGAACCTGGTCTCTGCTTTGATTTTTGTCCCCATCACAGGAGGACCCTGGTCAAGACCGCCGGCAGCATGCCAGCAGTGCCGCAGCCTCGTGTCAGTCTGACGGGCCCCGTGCCTTTCTTTGGGTGCTGAATGAAGATCTGCAGAGGAGGAGGAGGCTCCTTGTCCCTTCCCAAAAGGGCCTGGCTGGTGACCTGGCTGGGTGAGCTCACCAGCATGTACCTATAGCACATATGCGTGTGCTTCACGCTGAGCGGGGTTTGGTGACTCACTTTTAAAGGAAAGAGCTCCTTGATTGCTCACTATCCTTCCCCAAATTTTTGCTAATGCCAAAGAAAAGCCTTTCAGGGCTTTGATTCTCTTAAATTGCTTTCTCATGGGTTTTTCTGCAATGTGACTTTCATTTGTCCTGGTGCCAGGGCACAAAGGGGTGAACACATCCCTCCACGCTCTGTCAGTGTTCACGAAAGCCCATCTCTCAACATCATCACCCTTGAAATCAACCATTTAAGAATGACCAGTATCTTGCACGTATCGTGATTTTCTATTAAAGGAAAGCCATTAGGAACGAAGGGTGATGCAATGAGATACCACAGCTTGTCGCTGACCGAAGGAAATCAGTTGGCACGCTCAGTGAACGTGCTGGTGAAGGAGATGGGGCTGCTTGGTGAGGTCCTGTCCATTGGTGGTGGTGGGCTCTGCATCACAGATGGAGTGAGAAGTGTGGGTTTTATAGCGTCATAGATTTTATTCCGCATCCGCAGCTTAGACTGTCATAATTATTGTTATTTATCAGATTTCACTGATTTTGTATCCTGCGTGGAGGGTTTGCACGCCTCAGTCCACGCATGTTTTACTGCTTTCATGTCAAACTAAGTTCACGCTTTCCCACCCACCGGAGCAGCCCAGGGACATGCTCCTTTGGAAACGAAGTGCCAGCCGGCTGTGCCAGCTGCGGGGAGCCACAGGCAGGTGGCTGCAGGGCTGAGGGGGCTGGCAGAGTGCTCAGCCCACCCACCTTTCTCGCCCTCTGCACCTCTCCTGGGAGTTCAGCTCATTCTTGCCACTCCTGGCACGGCGCGGGAGGAGCGGAGCTGGGAGCGGGATGCCAGCGGGCAGCCTGAAGAGGAAGCAGATTTGCAAAGGGAGACCAAAGGGGTTTTCTCCTCTCAGAATTTTCCAAACCGTAGCGTTTTCCTGCACCTTCGTGACTGCTCATCCCCGGGGACGCTTTCCAAGCGCACGCCTTTCCTATTGCACCAGAAGAATTCTTTCACTTCCAGCAACTCCGGGCGGGCGCAGACCTGTCCTGGCCCCTCCACGCCTTTTTCGATATCCGAGCCCCTTCCCACCGTGCTGCCGAGGGGCTGCAGCCTGGGAGATGAGGCTGATGAGCTACAACCAGACCTTCGAGGTCCCACCCTTGCCATGGGTAAGGTGATGGCTGGGAGGGGGAGCACAGGTACTGCCGGAGCCGCGGCCCCCCCAGCTTACAGGGAACTGAGCTCATCTCAGCACTTACTGCGGGGACATCCCTGATTCAGGAGTAAGTTGGGTTTTATCCACGATGAAAACTCAGCATCTGTAGGCTAACACAAACAGCCATTGCCCTGCACCTTGCTGAGCTACCATACTGAGTTCATTGTAAAACATAGCTAATATTTTACTAAAATAGAAATATCCTTGTGGTATTACGGTAACACCATCAGGTCAGACTCTAGCCAGAAGGCTCCTCATTCTTTACGTTTTATGGCTTGCTAGCAGATCTGCACACACACAACACAGGCTCAGGAATTTGAATTTGTCTGTGCCATTTCTGCCCCTTCTCTCCCCAGCAGCCCTGGCCCTATCCGACACCTCCGCAGCCCATTCCTGGGATTCAGGGAAAATTGCTTCTCTGCTTTGGCACAACTTCTTCTTCATTGCTTCATCCTACATCACTTTATCTGCGGGGTATTCAGCTTTCTGTACCCGCACCCCACTGACAGACAGCAGCGTCGTGCTGCTGTTTGGAAATCCGTGCATCAATACATTGTTTTCCTCTGTTTAGTCATCCACTCTCGAAAATAAGACCAAGAGACAACATTTAATTACAGTCATCCTCGTTTCCGCCTGGATAGACGTGAAGTCAGCCAGGGAAAATGCGTGAGCGATGCGTGGCTCAGGTTTATTGAGCAAAGGGTGGGTTTTAAGGCCACGTTCAGTGCGGAGGCTCCGTGGCAGAGGAGCACGGACTGTGCTCGATTGTTCCAACTCCAAGTCAATGGGAGATTGTTCGTTCAGCTGCTCTGGGGAATTTGATCAGTACTGTGCAAATGGCTACAGTGCCTGTTGCCTGATTAGCTGTGTAGGCTGCTGATAGGTTGTCCCACTAATTAATGTCATGCCGTGATCAATTCCGGCTGTTGATGAAAACGCACGTGAGGAACATTACTCAAAACATTTCCTGTTTATCTCTGCTAATTCTGGGGTTCTTCTACAGTCCTGTGCCATTTGCAACGCCAGGTGTGATGCTGCAGTGATGCAGTAAGAGGAGACCCCCCCCCCGCCAAAATGCACCCGTACTGCACCTCCCATGGACTGCGAGTCCCTGGTCTGCTGAAAGCCAGTGGTGTTCTTTATTGCTTGTGCACAAAAACACTTCAGACCATGGGGGTCTGCAGGTACAGCGTTCGGGATGAGAAAGCTTAGAGGAATTAAAAGTATGAGACGTTGTTCTAGAGGATTTTCTAGCTGCCTTTAAAAGAAAATGAGTTTTTTCTTTTTATTAAAAAAAAAGTACATTCTGGCCTTTGAGAGCCTGCTGTGTTGGGAGGGCACTGGTGGGGCTGGGGCCATTGGTGGGTCCAATCTGCTCGCTCAGACCTGTGCCTCCAGCCCAGCCGCCCCATTTGGCATCAAACAATTCCTCCTAAATCACTGCTCAAAGCGGAATTTAAGCAAAAAAAAAAAAAGGTGAAGCTATAGCAAACCGTGGTAGCAATAAAAACTGCTGCTCACTGGTGTCTTGTTCTGATCCTCAAGGCAGAGCCGGTCCAGTCGCTGCCGCTCTCAGTCCCCCCATCAGATCTGGCTGCCCCAGTTTGGGGGGGACACGTCTGGGGCAGTGCTGTCCCCCCCAGAGCTGCCCTGCGCGATGCTGCTGGAGGTGAGGAGGAAGGTGGAGTAGGCGAGGTCAGCATCCTCCTTGGAGCTCTGGGGAAGGACAGGAGGACACGGTCAGGTGGCCAGGGACAGACAGCAGCACGTGGCAGGGGAAAGGGCAGCATTAACACGGGCAGCGCCGTGAGCTTCTCGGAACGATACGGGCGGATCAGATGAGTGGGACAATCCCACCGGTGCCGATGGGAGAGCATCACGCCTTTGCTCAGCCTCGGGGAAAACCTCAAACATTTGCATGTTTGGGACTCTGTGACATGCCTGTCCCCATGTGTCGGCACACAGCTCATCTGTCCTAAAGCTGCTGGGTTTACTGGTTTCCTGATAGTTTCCTTTATTGCCCCGTTTCAGCTCTTGGCCCTTACAACACCTACATATCACCTTCGGTTGGAAACTTGGTAAAAGAAGCACTTGCAGCCAGCACCTTTGGTTACTGCTGAGTGGCACCACTCGACCATGACCTTACCCAAGGGTAGGGGCAGCAACAAGTCACAGCCCTTGCGATGGCAGAGCCCTCCCTGCCTGCCTCTGCCCCGCAAACCGCTGCCGGCATGGGAATGCAGCACTGGGGGGAGCTGGGAGGTGGGATGTGCTCTGGCTTCTGGTCATCTGCTTATTCCAGTGATTTATATTTATGGTAACAAGCCAGCCTCCACCTTCCTGCAGCTGACTTGGTGAACTGGATCATTGTCTCTGCTAAAACATGGGCTCAGGAAAGGGTTAAGGTCCCCCCATGGAGCCTGATCTGCAGCAGGTGGCTGGACCCAGGTAGGATGGAGAGCACCTGGGTATAAATAAGGCCCCTGGGAGCATGCAGCTCCCTTGGCAGGAACTGGAGGGCTGCAGTGGTGACTTCCAGGTCAGTGGTCTCTCTCTTGCCTTCTCTTACCCTTTTTGCCTTCTTTGTCTCGGCAATGCTTTCCGGGGCGGCTGGGGTGGTGATGAACTCTGCGGGCAGAGAAGGGCAAGTGTTGAGGTATGGGGGCATTTCCATAGCTTTTGTGGAGTCTTTCTGCAAACCCCTTCCCAGCACCCCTCGCCCTGGGGATGGAGACGCAGCCCATCGGTCAGCAACCTACCGTCCCCCCCGAACTGGGTCTCCTGGCTCTCCTTCGTGCAGGCGTTGTTGCTCGCGCTGTACTCCTTCACGCTTTCGAAGTCGGACATGCTGATGTTTGTCCTGTAGCTCCCCACGGACACCAGGTCTGTTAAGAGGGAGGAGATAAATACCCCCCACGCTTGCTTAGGGTCATCAGCCTCCGAACCGCTTGCGTGCAAGGAGACACTGTGCAATGCGGCGTGCAAAGCCCGCAGAGGAGGGGTCTCTGTCCCAGCCTGGGCAACCCCATGTGCTGGGTCTTGGAGCTGCACGGATGGGGTTAGTGGGAGAAGCAGGGTCCCTTGTCCCCCATCACATGAGGGGGTACCAGGGGAGCAGCTCAGCCCAGCAGAGGTGCACGAGGTATCGCCTTTGTCTTAATATTGCGGATGCTTCTTGAGAGGCTGGGAAAGGCAGGGACTCACCGGATCTCCTCAGCTGCCGGTATTTAAAAACAGCAAAAGCTGTCACCAGGATCAGGAGCACGGCACCGACGGGGCCCAGGACTAGAAGAAGTGTACTGGGGCTTCGATCAGAGCTGGAACAGAGGGAAAGACTTATCACTAAGCTGTGAAATGTGTTTTTTTAATTATTCAAGACTGAATAATGTATGTGAGTATCCAGCAGTCTAAAAATCTATATCAGACTGTACATCTGAGTGAGCACGATGCAATTTGATTAATGAACTGGGTCCCAGCACATCACAGGGGGTAAATAAAAACGTAGGACAGAGGTTGTGCCAAAACAGCTACATCAGCAGCTGGGTTATAAATGTGTGAAGGAAAGCTCTCCAATCTTGCAGCAGTATTTTCAATTAGTTTTCCTGTACCTGGTGTCTCTAACCCTTCCCTTCTGGGACTGTATTTTCTTGGGCTAGAGATTATTTTCAAGAGATTTTACCTTTTGCTGTAACTTTTTTGGTTCTTTTCCTCTTAGGTTTTGAGCTAAATTCTTTAGGAATAAACTTTTTGTTGTTGTTGTTGCTAAACTACACATACAGGGGCAAACACAAGGTAATACAAACTTTGCAAAAATAATAAATGACAGAGGCTTGGAGAGAACTCACCTTTCCGAGGCAGCTCCGCTTTGCACCTCGGCCCCGCCGTAGGCTCTTCCTTGGGGAACGAAGCCACGCTCGGTGTGGCTGGGGGGCTCGGTTTGGCTGGGGGCCTCGGGGTGGCTGACGGTGTCAGCATCCAGGAGCTCGAGGCTGTGGTCAGCACTTCTTTCTGCATTTCCTAGGGAAGGAGGGAGGTTGGTCGCGTGAGCAGCAGCACGGAGATGGTGACACAAAAACTAGTTGGGTGTATTTGGTGCACGTGGAAGTGCAGTGGGTTTTGGCTGTATGGGAGAGGCTCTTTCAAATGAGGTTTAGAGGTCTGAAATAATCTCATTCCAAATAATTTATTGTAAAAGTCTCAAGTAGGCTTTCTCTGCCTCTATGCTTTCAGAGAAGTCTCGCGTTTCTAAGTCCAGCATCTAGTATTTCCTGAACAAATGTTGAATACTTGGTTTGCTTTTATTTCTAGCCTTTTGCCTGCCAAAGGCAGCGAAATGAGGCTGTTTCTCTCTGTTTTCACTTGGACCACCACCCAGTTAGGATGGTTGCGTGTGGCACATCTAGTGCTATACTTTTTCTCTGCTTCTAACAATATTCCTTCCTAAGAAAAGTAAGGTCCTGCACGACAGCTGAGACTAAGCCTCTTGCTGTCCAAGGGAAGCTCAGAGCCCTTCCTTTCCTGCTCCATACTCTTTATTAAGACAATAAACTCCCTGGAGCGAGATACATCTCTCAACTACACACAGCCCTTCCCTGACAGGTGTCCGACGTTGCTTAAACTAAATGATGCTACAAATTGTAATGGCAATAATTGGTTAAGGACAAGGTTAAAAAGTAAAAACTATGTGGAAGGAAGATCGTTTTTAGACTGGTGGGGTTTTTTTTAATGACTGGGAAGCAGAAACCAGCGATGGGATGAAAACACCTATGACCAGTTGTGCAGAATCAGGGTGATCTTGGCACCCAGTCTGGGAGGCTGCCTGGTGGGAGCGCTTCTCTTTTGAGGTGCTGCAACCTAGTGGCCATGGAGAGGACTTTCCTTCAGCAGAAGGCAGCACGATTCACTGATCGCCTTCACCTTGGAGCTCACCTTCGGTCACCCACAGGTACGCTGCCATGGTTTCCCCGAAGAGGCCGTCGCGCTTCACCCCACACCAGTACCACCCTTGGTCTGTCTTTGCCACCGAGTCGAAGCTCAGGATAACTGTCTTGTTGTCAGTGTCACAGGTAACGTCCGGCCCCGGCTGCCTTTGGTCGGAAGCAGGCACGGGGGTGCAGGTGGTGCTGTTCCACTTGCACCAGTACTTCTGGTAGGAGTAGTACTTGCACGGATAAGAGCAAGTTAAATCCAACCGTGAACCCTCTTGTGCCTCCACTTCCTTCTTCCCCTTCAGTCCAGGTTCTCCTGCGAGGGAAACAGAACAGCAAGGCTGATGTTAGTGGTTTCAGTGGTGGCAATGGGAGACAACAGGTAGTGATGCTGCTGGATTTGGTGAAACAGGAGATGTATCTTTGAGGGAAAGCGCTCCTCATATCGCTAAATTAATGTTAAGGATGCCGTATATACATCTCTGGGTGGAAGTTGGGTTTTTTTTGCAAGGTTTAAATATGTGCATGAGAAACTTCTGTGAATGCTTTCCCATAAAACTGAAACCTTGTGTTTTCATTTTAAAGCTACTGGTGTGTGAGGGGATTGACACAACGCTTTGCTTTGAGATAAAAGCTCAGAGTTGGACCTCTATCTCTTCCCCTAAAGCCAGATCTGCTCCTTTGTGGTGCTTAGGAGGTTGTTTTGTACCTACTGAGCAGGTAGAGAACTGCCAACGCACGAGCTCGTACCGTCTACGATCTTCAGCTCAGTTGATGTTTGCTGCTCCTTCTCCTCGTCTGTCATGCACCAGTAGTAGCCTTTGTCACTGTCACTCAGCTGGTTCAGGATGATGGTGATTGTCTTGTTATCTGGGTTGTCGTACATGGCCACTCTTCCTTCATACGAGTCCAGCACGTACCCGGAGCTGCTTATGATCCAAGTGCACCCGTTCCGTCTCCACTTGCACCAGTACCTTGTTGAAGACTTTTCTAGAGTCCCATAGTGGCATTCAAAAGTTACTGAACTTCCTTTTACTCCAGTTAGTGTGGTCTTTCCTTGAGGAACACTTGACTCTGGAGATAAAAAATGAAATGAGCAGCTACACATGTCTAATTTTTGCCCATGGAGCACTCTCCCAAGAGAACAAATGTTATCAGATCAAACAAAGCTGCTTGGGTAAAAGCAAGGCTAGGCAAAGCTCAGGGGTGCAGACAGCAGGAGACTGTCCTGGCACTGTGAGGAATCGACCCTAAAGGGTCTGTCAGGCCTTTCTTTTTCCCAAATTCACCGGTTGGTGGTTGTCTCTGTGTACTGATGTTTCAGAATTTTGCTCCCTTTGCTAGGGGAAGGGCAGGTCTTCTCCTTTCTACAGCTGCCACTTTGAGATTTAAGGAATTTGGACTTGAAGAAACAGTTTGCTTGTCTCAGATAGGAAGAATTTGCCTTGTGGAGTTCTGGGCTAGCCAGACTGGGGAAGATAGCTAGCCCCTGCTGGGAAAGCTAAGTCTTGATACAAGCTTTATTAGTGATGGCTAATACATTACAGGTAGCTAAATGAACAGAAGGAAGTATCTAGATGAGATGGTATGATACCAGCACTCTGCTAGGGGAAATTAAAGTCCCTGTTAAATAAAATGAGACTGCCAGTGATGCCTGTAAAGAGAAGCAGAGACAAAGGGAAAAAACACCAGGAATAACTTACCTTCATAGACATGCACGTCCAGTTCCTTCGTTTCTCCGTTCTTCTCATAGATGCCGACCCCGCACAGGTACAAGCCAGCGTCTTCCCAGCCCATCTGAGTTATCATGATGCTGAACGAGCCTGGGGAGTCCTCATGGCTCAGCAGAATGCGCCCTGTGTAATCCTCGTCAACATTCCCGTAGCTGTCAACGATGTCATGGCAGCCGCTTTTGTCCACCTTGCACAAGTATTTCCTCGTGCTCTCATAGTCCTTCCCGAAGCTGCAGGACATGGTCAAGGTGCTCTTCAGCTTCACGTAGAAGAGCTCAGCTCCCTCGGGTAGAGGTGGACCTGTGCGTACAGACACCAGTCAGTGTCTGCTGCCTACTGCCAGTAACTGTGTGACTCCCCTATACATCTGGAGGCTTTTTATGAGCGTAGGGTTTCTCTATACTGTGCTATATTCTATGATCACATGCCACTGTGGTCATAGCATGATCTGTCCAGCCATGTCCTGTGTCTGTTGCACACGTCAGGACAGAGGTCCCTGTGCTCTATCACTGCTCTATGGTGGGGCTTCTCCCAGAGCCTTCTTGCCAGAAGGCTTTGCACCGTGCTCTGCACCCTGGGCCTTGCCCAGCAGTGCAGTGCCATCCTGCACTCCGTGCTCTCCTGCACTGGTGCACAGGCTTGGCTGGCACAGCCTCAGCCGTGGGTCGGAGGGTACATCGGAGTGATGGGCAGTTCCGCCCTCTGACTGCATCTCCCTGACTTTTAGTGACTGAGAGGTGTCAGCAGTTTCTAAGCAATGTTTGTGACCTGAAGATGAGGTTTGTTTAATCTGATTTTTATGCCAGACTTTTGGCCATAAAATTCATTCTATAAGATCACAGGGGAAAATGAAAACTGCTGTTTCCCGAAAGCATGGTGCATCCTGAGCTCTTAGATGCTGGACGGACTATTTGTAGAGTGCTACTGGAAAGAGGGGAAAAAGTAAAAGAAAATGCTTTAAGGAGCCTCAAGACTGTAATTACCGTTATAAACATCCAGACTGACTTTGTGGGAGAGCCCTCTGCCATTGATACCAACACCGCACTGGTAGGTGCCCACGTCTGCCATTGTCAGCTCGGAGATGCTAATCTGGAAGTTTTCTGCCTGTGAGTAGTCGGTGATGGAGACTCTGCCCCGGTAGCCCGGAGCAGTGTAGCCACTGGTGGAGACAACGGTCATGCAGCCCGTGGCCGATTCCTTGCACCAATACTTCCTGTCGTGTCGGTTCGTGCGGGTGGAGGGGTAGAAGCATTTCACAGTAGCCGACCCGTTGAGCAGACCGTACACCTGCCGTGGTCCGAACACAGGGCTTGAGACTGCAGGAGGGAAACGTGTTGGCTGTGAATGTCACCTGTGCTCCGCGACCCGATGGGACTGCAGAGCAGGTCGGGTGTCCCGGGGCGCGCACAGTCCCCGGGCTGTGCAGCAGCACGTGGTCTGAAAGGTCCCGTGGCAGTGATGGGCACTGAAAGGGTAGAGACACCCCTGAACCCTGCTCTCCCCCTAGTAATGCCACCTCTGGTCTTAGGCCACCCAGAAGACCCGTGCCCAGACAGGTTATACCTACTTGCTGCCTTGGGGCGGTATCTGCTTTTTGCAGAGTCAGCTGGGAGGCAGGCGAGCAGGAAGGTGAACGCCAGTAACATCATTGTTCTTGCACAGCCTGGAAAAGGCAGAGAAGTTGGTGAATAATTACACTTGCAAAATCATTAAGTTAACCTATCGAGTCATCTAATAATCCTCATGCCTGGAGGATATGAGGGTTGTGGCTAGCTAAGCTAGAGAGAAACACAGCATTTAATCACTTCTGCCACCCAGTCGAACAGGACAGAGGGAGCTGAGGTTCTTGCCTGTGTTGCTGCACAGCATCGTTGGCTGCCTGTGGGTCTCATCCCAACGCCCTGATCTTCCCTTGTGTAAAATGAGGAGAGTTGTTCTCCTAACAAACTCTGTTAGTGCAATGCCTGCGAGTGACCCATGTGTCCGTCAGAGCAGAGTGCCACAGGGACAGTGTCCCACAGACAGGCAACAGCAGTGGTGTGCACAGCACAAAACGTGATTTTGGCCAAACCAGAAGAGACTTGATTAATCAGAAACAGTATCTGGCTTCACACTTGTAAATCAGAACAGCCCATCACAAGGCTGAAGGTCCAGAAGTGGTCCAAGAGCTGCTGAGCCCTGGCAGACAAAAGGGTCAGGCGCCAACCTGGAGCTCAACTGCTCACTTGACCCTTGCCAGGAGATAATGCTGCTTCTAATAGCTTGATAGCTGGGGTTGTGTTCTCTTTCAGCGTTCATGCAGTGAAAGGAAGGTTTGTTCACTCCTGAGCCTGAGTGCCAAAACCGCTCCTTAAGAAAACCTGCTCTCGCAGAATCGTTTGGTTTGCAAAGAACCTTTGAAGGTTCTTCATCATCTAATCCAACCCCCTGCCATGGGCAGGGACATCTTTCACAGGGTTGTGTTGCTCAAAGCCCCAAGGTCAGCCTGACCTTGAACGCTGCCAGAGATGGGGCATCTACAACTTCTCTGGGTAACCTGTGCCAGTGTCTTGGCACCTTTGCTGTAAAAATCTCCTACGTCCAAATTTCCTCCTTATGTCACAGAGCAGAGTTCCTGTCTGCAGCCTGTATTCAATTACTGTTCTTTGTTTCCCTGATCCCTTCAAGGACACACAAAAGAAAAAGGGTAATGTTTTCACCTCTACTTTTTTTTCTTTCCTCGGTTGCTGGTAAAGTTAGTGAGATGCAGACCCCTCACCCCCACCCCTCCAGGAATCAGACTTAAACCAACAAAGCGCAGTCCCACCTGTATATCCAACAAACCTCCTGCACCAAAATCAACCCTTGGCCAGGACTCAAAGCGATGGCTCTTGGGGAATGTCCAACCAAACTGCGTGTCTCAAAATGCTTTTGTAGTCTTGAATCAAGATGAGCATTTCTGACCTTTCCCTTGTTTTGGACTGAGTGATGGCTCAGAGTAATCCAGGGCTCTTAATTCATTAAACTATTTTCTTTGGCCTGGTCTGAGCGTGCTGCACGGTGCAGTGCTGGGAAAGTGCATTTCCTGAGCGTGGCTGTTGATCTACCTGCTTATTTGAAGTTAAGACAATAGGTGCCAAGGAAAGCCTTTATAAACATTCAGAGGAATTTGATTTCAGTGCATCAAGTGACACAATTTTATTAAGGGTAATTCCCAGTGGAAGAAAAAGGCTTTTATTTCCGTGTTAAGATGAAAGGTGTTCTGTTGTGCTTTCTTCCTTGTATTATGATTTCTAATTGCTCAGTGACCACTTGTCCATGGTGAATAATTAACTCACTGAGCATGAAAAATGCTCTTTCATACATATCCCAGAAGTAGTCAGCAAAACAAACATAACATTCTGCAAAAAGCAAACAAAATGGCACAAAAAGGGCCTTGATGTTTGCCCCTCGCTGACAGCAGTTCCTCTGGCTGATGGTCACCTCACTGCCCTCCACCCCTTGCTCTGCAGTGCAGGCAGGATCCCAGTTCAGCTTTCCCCTTCTTGGCAAAATTTGAATAATCTGTTAAGCCTGATTCCTTCCCAAAGCAATCAGCTACTTCAGGGTCACCAACAACATTGTCTTTTCAAGTAAAGATAGGTTATCAAGACCTCTTTTTTTTTTTGAAACAAAGATATAGCTGTGTCCAGAAAAATGCATGCAGAAGTGGTGGCATCAAGGTCTTCATGTGCACGTTAGAGCAGGAAAGAATTTTTACATCTATCTCCGAGGACACACGTGTGTGCTTGTGCCTACACAAGAACAATGATCCCTGCGTGCTTGCACAACCAACATCTGCAACTTCTGCAGCTCTGTGTTGCCTCTAGTCCTGCTTTCTCTGTTAAAACCTTCCCCCGGTCACTGAATGAATGGAGAAAACTCCCATGTATAGCAAGTCTGAGCAAGCACAGCCACCAGTTACGTAAAAATTTGTGCTGTATTTCCATGCTGATCCACTGAGCTGGGCAGCTGGAAACCCCCTCCCTGCTGCTGGTGCCGCGTTGCACTTGGAGGTGACACTTCCTATCCCAGAGAAATGGTGCGAACGGGCTTTGCTGGTCACTCTGCAATGAGCAAGTGCTGTTTGAGATGCTAGAGCAGAATTTCATCAAGCTGTTGATAAGAGTTTGAGTTCCTTCTTGCTTTCAAGGCACGTTTGCTGCTGGATTTGCTGTCTCTAGTCAGAGCACAAGGTCTAAACCTGAGAGCTCCAGGGAAGAGAGAAGGCTGCTGAGCTCACCTGAAAGGCAGTGCAAGTAAGTGGCTGCACAAGTGATTCGTATTAATGCTTCTGCAGATGGAGGGGGAGTTGAAAGAAGAGAGGAGATGGGACAGCAGAGGTTTGCAGGGGGCTACAGAAGAGCTAAGAGGCTTGAAACTAGAGGGAGATGCCACCTATGCTCTCTCCAGAGCAGTTGGGAGGCAAGCTCAGGAGAAGTGTGCTGGTAGATCTGCACAGCTCCTATCCTGCTGTGCGCCCGGGGATGGAGCTTGATGCAGCCCCGGTGCTGGGAAGGGTGCAGTGCCCGTGCTCCTCCTGCCACTCAGCCGCAGCTTCTCACTGGTCTATTCTAATTTTTCAGGAGTAGAGAAAGGAGGAAAATAGGAAAATAGTTCTCCTTTGTTACACATTGGTGAAATCTTTCCTGGAGATGGTGGCGGAGGCAAGGTGTCATCGTGGGCTTTGTATGCAGACACAACCCTGTCGGTGTGTGCCCTCGGCATCCGGCAGCACCAGCTGCTTCAGAGAGAGCTGCAAAAATCTGCCCTTGGCAGTGATGCCAGGACTCGTCCTGAGGGGTTTCCCTAATGCCTGGGGGGGTCTGGGGGTCGGCATGAGGCTTGAGCAGTACTCCTGAAACCTTCCAGCAGCAGCTGAATTTGGTCACCCTATAAGGGAAGAGTCGCACTGACTTTGCAGACAGCTGCTGACTCTCCACTGGTTTTGCCTGGGGGCTGAGTGACGTGGCTGCTGTGGGCTCAGCTGCCACGCTGGGTTCCCCTCTGCTCGTGTCCACATCTTCTGCTTCCCCCTCTTGCAGACACTGACCTGTGTGTCTGGGTGCCTGTGCTGGATTTCCCATCGCTCTCAGAGCAGGAAGGACTGAGCGTGAGACCGTGATGTCCCCATGGACTGGCGGACACTGGAAACCTCTCCTGCAGGGAAAACCTGGTCCTGCCACCTTGCAGCAGGATGGGTCACCAGGACCCTGTTGGTAGCCGACGTGCATGGCACTGTGCAGGTTGGTGCCTGCAGCCCGCTTTGCGTGGCCGTTGGAGCTCCTGCCTGCACCAGAGCTGCAAGGACAGAGGGACCGTGGAGGCTGAGAGAAACCTGGATGCACGGTTTGTGCTGCATGTGTCCATGCAGGCAAAGAAAGTGCTGGTTCTGATGCTTTGCACCAGCATTTTAAGCTCTATGTAGTCTTAAACCTGATGCGTTAAAAACCTGGTGAGAAACTGCCTGCGAGGCAGTGCAATGGACAGGAGAGAGGGAAAGCAGGGAGGGAACCCAGTAAGTCCCACTAAAAAAGTGCCTTGGAGAAGTTGTTCTGCATTTCAGGGCAAAGAAGCTGTGGGTGGGAAGTGGTTCATGGCACTTTTGGAAGGTGGAGGAAGGCTGGTCTGCAGTAGCCATGGTATGAGACCTCTCCAGGCTGAGTGTCCCAGTCTACTGTGTGTGGACACTTCCCTGGATCCCCCAGTACCAAAAGCACCGTGGGATCGGCCTGGGTTAGGAGCATCACCTTCCCCTCCAGCTCTGTCGTATGCCTAAGTTTTGAAACGGTGCTTTTAGATTTCCAGCAGAAAGTTCTCTCAGACCAGGTGAGCTCTTCTAAACATCATCCATTACAAGACCTCCTTTGGGTTGCTGTGATGCTTTTGTGACTTTATCAGTCCTCGGGAGGAATATCTTCAGATTTACAATGATTTGAGAAAGATCAGACCTGACCCCTGAGTTATGCAAACCCGAGCGAGCAGCTGCTCTTGCCAGGTATGAAATACCAGAGTTCAGCTCACAAATTCTGCTGACTCAGCTGCAAGGTTGAGCTCTGAGAAACCAGAACGCTCCTAATGCAGCTTGCCAGGGATCAGCCCCGTCCTACCCATTAGCTATTAACTATTGCTCTTAACAATGACCAGTGTCAAGGACGCGCTATGGGATCAATGAAACATGGAGGTTTAGTCGCCACATTTGTGATTCTAGCCTAGGAGTCCTCCTGTTTTACAGAATATTTACTATTATTCCAATATATGAGAAATAATAATGTATAGAGTGGAGGAATTTATTTTTTTTTCCCTTGAAATCCTTTTAAAGCAAGACCCACTGCCACCATGAGTAAGCTGAACAGGTGCAAACCGTTGCAGGCACAGGGCATTGCTGAGCAACGCTGCGAGGAGAAGCACTGGCCCATGTGCTAGGGGTGATTTATGGAGCTGCTGATGACTTGTGTGCCCAAAAGCAGGGCACAGCGACAGCCTTTTTGCTGCACAGGGCTGGGGCTGCTGCATCTTTACGCTGCCCATCAAGATCACTGCGTGGATGACCTTACTGCCAGTTTTATTTGCTGTAGTGGGGTGGGCAAAAGCCACCAATCCACTCCACTTTCATGGAGTTATGAAGGAGCTATCAACTTTAAGATAAAAGATCAAGCTGACCTAAACACATACAGAAAAGAAACATTTCGTGTTCCAAACCGATGCCTCCCTCACAATGTAGAAAGAATAAATAGGAGGTGGTACTTCTGTGATGCAGAGAGCAGGACCAGCTGGGTAGATCTTATTGAAGATTATCAGGATTTACTAAGAAATCAGCAGTTTTAGGAAATTCTGCAGTACTTGTGACCCTCTTAACTAAGAATGTTTGTAAGTGCCAGTTAAACGCTATCCATTATGAGGAATATATTCTGGAAAACAAACGAAAATGAATAACCAGACAACCCTCATGGCGGTGACTGAAATTTCTGCGAAGTAAGATTGTGCTCCTGGTCTAATTTTATGTGCCTTTAAGCCGTTAGATATACCACACACTAACTTGTGACCTAATTTTATGTTCCTTTAAGGTGTTAGATACCCCATGCACCAACTTGTTGCTTTTCAGATAAGAGTGTCGTGGATCATTTGTTTCTTACTTTTTTTTTTTTTTTTTGTCTCTTGGACTGGAAAGTGAAACCAACTTCAACACTATTAAACTGTTACTCTAGTTTAATATTACTCATGTTGCAAGGAGCAGGAACGTGCTATAATTCAACAGCACTTAATGTACAGCCACAGTCTGTCCCGTGACAGGGCTGGAGGGATGGATGGATGGATAGAGCTGGTGCCCGAATCATCATCATCATCACAATTGCTTTTAGGAGGTGGTATTGCTCTGTGCTTCACATGAAATGTGTTACAAGTCCTATATGAACGTTTCCTTTGCAGAGTAAGAATTCCCACCCCTTTGCTCTTGGTATGAATGTGAAAGGAGGCTGCCAGCTTCCTCTTCTTTCAGCTTTAGGACACTGTGAACGTCCCATTCACTCATGCTTCAGGATATTTGTATTTACCTTCTGACTGTACAAACCTGGGAGCTTTTCAGAGCTCGTTTAGGACATAACTGCACCAATTCTTACCTCAAATTTCAAAATCCACAAATCCACATCCCTGTGATTATCTCCATGTTGTGATTCAAAAGACTGAAGACCACAGACTGAATTGCAACAGTTTAGATTGCTGCAGTAATATTTACTAACATTTATTTTCTATGTTAATATTTACTAACATTTATTTTCTATGCTAAATAATAATTATAATGATACATTATAATGATAATTGACCTTTTTTTTCTGGAAAGGAAAGAATAAAAACCTACTGCAGAGATGAAAACATAAGCATCATCAGCCTCATCTTATGCTTCTGACCACCTTCTAAAGAAATTGGCCTCCCCCCCAGCAAGACCTGCACACCTACTAACTACTGTTTCAGAACTGCCCTTCCCTTCGCACACGCGTGAGGAAGAGTCCTTCAAAGTGTCTCAAGACTCAGATTCTTCTCCTTCCCCATCTCAAAGTGGTACTACAAAAGATTTCACGTTTCAGAATGACAATGAAGAAGCATTACTCACACTCCAAGTTACTTCTGCAGACTATTTGGTGGTACTTGCTTTTTCTTTTAGACTGGCTGCTCCTTGCTTTGCTGGTGTCTCGGTGACCGACCCCAGGACCTCCTGGGAGTGTCCTGCCTCCCTCCCGCAGCCGGACACTGGGCTCTGGCAGTGCCAGGCTGTTTTAAATACTCATACCTCTAGCCCTGCATTTCCACCTGTTGTGCCTTAAAGGAATAGCATGCAAAAAACCCTGGCAGGTGAGCACCACCCCACAGGAGCGCAGGGAAGCCAATGCCCATCCCAGCTCTGCTCTCACTTGGAGGGTGGACACTGTTATTGACCTCCTGAGTACACATTGCCATTGCCCAACAGCCACCCAAGGGGCCAGGGCACTTCCACCTGCTTTAGGAAGGAGGCTGGTGGCTGCGTGGGGTCAGGTCCGTGGAAGGTGGTCTGCTTGGCATGGAGCAGGGTGCCTCTGAGACAGCTTTCTGCGTGCACAGGACCCGGCTAGCTCGGGCAGCTGTGATTGCTTGGTTTGAAGATGGGTACCTACACCAGGCACAAAGACACTGGGGAGCCTTAGGGGTCTGAGTCTGAGCACACAGGGGTCCAGCCAGCCCCCTCCTCTTCGTTGGCACTGCAACATCACCCTTGAGTCATGACCACGTTTCCCACCAGCCCAGGCAGGAGAACTCCTCACTGCAAGCTGACCTGGCTTCTGATCTCATGACACCCCCAACCAGCGGTAGAGCAGCTTTGTGGGGCAAAGCTGGACAGAAGTAGGGTTTGGGTTTTTTTTTAACTGTTGCACTTTTTTTTGGAATCCAGTGTCCCTAAGCAGATCCAGGCTGGCTGGCCGTCCCGGTAGAGGAGGTCTATCTCCCTTCCTTGTGGTGGGTGAGGATTGGCCTTGTCTGGTCAGACCAGGAACATTGTAAGTACTTTAAAATAACAAAGCAGAAACTTTGCTGCCATCTTCAGCCTCATTTCTTCACTCTCCTACTGTAGGCATGTGAGGGGCACAAAGTAAAATTCCCTGTAAAGAGTGGGGTTGTCAGAAACGAAACTGCACGAGAAAGTAAAGTTAATTAAGATTAAAAGTATTCGTATTATGTGGGACGAATCATTAACTTCCTTTGTCTTGTACTAATGACGAAAAAGCAGTAATTTCTTCTAACTAGGGGATCACACAAAGCTTTTCTGCTCTGCTCTCACTGAAAGCTGGTGGGCTCAAGCAGGATAGCAGCTTCAGGTGTTCCTGCCGTGCCTGAGAGCAGGTGAGATCCTGACTTGGAGTTGGGATATTTTACAACTTGTCAGATCTCAAAGCCAGCCTTGGAAGTGCCTTTCGTCCAGCTAGGAGTGTCGAGCTCCTTTCTTTCCATGAATGTGCAGCTCTCGAGGTGAGGAAGGAGCTTTCGAGGTGAGGAAGGCTGTTGCTGGGCTTGCACAGGGTGATCTGGTGGGGTCGTGAGCTGAGAAAACAGCCACAACGGACGCTGATCCCCTCGGGAGCCGTGTCCTTCCCACCAGTGCTGCTTCTCTGGCTGCTCTTGGCATCACTTTAGTTTTTCATTCTTGGACATAGTTGCTCTTGCTTGGCCGCGGCAGACACAGGTGTGTTTGCTTTCCTACACCTCCCGCTCTCCTGGGCACCTTTCCTTCGGGTGCCAGCGTGTCGGCTTCCCCCTCGCTGGGTCTCCAAACTGCAGTTTGCACGGAGATGTGTTTTAAGGAGCCTGGGCTTGTGCAGGGTGGGCAGGAGGAAGGAGGGTGGCCGCGGGTGGAGGAAATCCTGGCAGAAACCAGCCGTGGAGACCCACCACTCGTGCATTTTGGGGAAAAAAAGTTAGTCCAGGGTGGATGAACGGTTTCTTTAACCAACCCACTTACTTCACCCTTAAGGTTTCTGGTAAAACCGATCCGTTGTCTCATGCAAATATATTTACTTGCTTTAACAGAGGAGGAAGCGTCCTCCTGCCAAGTCACAGGTTCTAAAGCACTTTGGCGTCTCCTGAGAACAAACAGCTCTAAGATTGCTTTTCTTCTTTTTGGGTTCCAAGGCACGGTTTGCAGCATGGCATGCAATCTGAGGGTACAAACCAAAGCTACTGTTGGGGTCTGGGCTGTGTTGGGGCTCAAATGGTTCAATTTTGAAGCTGTGGATAGTTCTGCGGAAGAGTTGGAGGAAAAATAGCACTTGAGAATTTAGGTGTCTTTGATAGTCTAAAGTCAGATACAGTTTACACGTGGCAAAATGACCCAACAGATAAGGATTTAAAAAAAAAAAAGGAAAATCCTCCCTTTTTGCCTAGCACTGAGCAAACGTGCAGCCATGAGGGTCCTTCCTTCCCACACCCCCTCCCCAGCTTTACCTCTCCCTTGGAGTGCTCACCCTTTTCAAGACACAGCCAAGGATGCACAAAATAATTTGATTTACAGACGTGTTATTTTATTCTTTCTCCTACAAACCATGCAGCAAGTGACGTTTGGGCAGCCTGCAGGGATCTGGCTTCCCAGCAGGGCAGCGGGCAGCAAGCGGTGCCGGGCACTGTGCGGGTTACAGCCGTGCCTCCGCTTTCCGTAGGGAAACTTCCGAGCTCACGGGCATGGGGGCTTTGCCGGAAGGGGCTTCTGCTTTATTTCTCTTGAGTCTTGATCAAGCTGGTCAGAAAGTACTTTTTTCCCCATAAGGTCACTGTAAAAAAAAAAAAAAAAAAAAAGAAAAGCCAGCAGAAGAAAAGCTGTGATCTGGCAGTGCCTCTCTACAATATTTTTACAAGTGATTTCGTGGGTGTTACTGGTTTTATGCCAAACTTGATATTTTAAATGGGTCGGATGTTCAAGGGAGTCCTGAGAACAGAGAAACCTAGAAAAACCTGGGTTGGAGAGGACTTCTGGAGTCAACCTCCTGCTTGGCTTAGGAGAATTATCCCAGGCTTTACCCCAAACCACATATCTAGAAACAAAAAGCACATTTAACAACTTCTGGTTTACGTTCTCATTTTTAGCAGTTTTTCCACAGAATTTTGATTGTTTATTTTCAAGGTTTTGCTGGAGGTGTACTTTTTTCTTTCCATTCTTCGTATTTCAGACTGCAAGAACCCTTCCTACAGCTGCCTTTCTTGTAAAGTCAGATCTCTCAAACAGCAACAAAACTTGTGTAGTTTTAGCCAGTTGTATCGCTCTCCGCAAAATATTCTAGATTTGAACCTTCATGGCCTTGGTTTGAAGCCACTCTGAAGGCTTCTTTTGACATCTACAATATATTCTCTAAATAGCTTTAAAAATGTGATGTCTGTAGATGTGCTTTCTGCTTCTGATCAAGCCAGTGGTTGTTTCAAATAGGAAAGAAATACAAGTGTCCACGCAGTACTGTGCAGAGGTGGTAGGTCATTCCACAGGGTGCAAATTGGCACAGTCACTTCTTTCCCTCTGCAACTGTCTAACTTTACAATATTATCAGCTGCTTAAATGATCAGAGAGTTTGGATTTAAATGGATTGTAATGAGAATATGGAATATCATCATCGAATTTTTTGCACCACTATTCTACTAAGTTTGATTTATTTATTTTTTTTTTAATTGGAGAAGACTGCATTTCGCTGCTAGGAATTTTTGCAAATCGGATATACTTTAAAATATTCACTCAGGTGTTTTCTACAAGAGCTTCCCTGTAAAGGGTATTAGTACTCCAAGACAGACCTGCTGTTTTTATATTTTATCAGAAGACACAATGTCTTACACATAAATAGGCCAACCTGAATCTTCCAGGGATAGTACAGATTATCCTGTACAAGTAGGACAAAAAAGAATTATATGATTGCAGCACAGTAAACAAGAATTTCTTCTGTGTAATATTGCAAGAAGTCATGAGCAATCAGACTTTATTGGAACAAACAAGCAGGAAGAGCGATAACGAACCATCTATGATTCTGTTTACCGTGCGTAAGCAAAAATTATAATCAACCCTATAATAAATTTATAAACCTCATACAGGATTTAATCCAAATCTTTTGAAATCTATGGCTCAATGGTTCTTGGTAAGGAATAAAGGCAACAGTTTGGCATCAGAACACAAATTCTGGACTGCAGGATTGTAATTCCTGGACCGCAGACCTCGTGGTTATCCCGTGGAGGTGTTTTACACGCTGAGCTGCAAACCCTCTGCTTAAAGTTTGTTTTTATTCTCCCCTACCAAGGGAGACGACACTTGCAGTGCCAGTTCCGGAAAACATCCACCTACGTTTGCCGGAGTCTGCCCGGCTTTCCGGCACTTTTTCTGGACTGGCGCTTTCCTCCATCGTTTGTTCTTTTACTGGGCTCAGACCAGCCGGAATCGACACTCCTTCCAGGTTTCCCATGGCTCTTGTTTCTTCTCCTTAAAAACAAAAAACATGCGTGCAACGGAGGGAACAGCTCCTCTAATTATTTAAATATACAAGCACATCACAACTGACACCGGATTAGGCCCATTTTTTTCCCAGTTTCATCCTTGTGAATAATGCATTTCCACTCACTGCTGTCCGCGATTAAGGTTATTGTCCCTAAATTCATCTCCAGGGACACCGTATGTTACAGAATAAGATATATGCACGTATTTTTGAAAATCAGTCATTAGCAAGGAATTTTGGGGCATATCCTTGCCAGCTTTTCACCCAGTGGGCACGATTTGGCCCCAAGAAGCCGCCCAGCATGTAGCAACTCATGCCACGCATGTCCCTGCCCTTTATACCTCAGGATTTCCGAGCACTGGCAGAGCTGTAAATCTTCTACACACAAAAACTCAACCTTGCTTTCAGCAGGCCTCCAGAATTTCCGTTTCCTTCATTTGCTTTTTGTTTAAGCATATTTAAAAAAGCAGCTGCTGTAGGACGTTGCTTGCTCGTGAGTGCGGTTGCACCTTCAGGCTGCCCTGGCTGCAGAATGGGTGCCTGTCTCCAGAGATGGAAACCTTCCATGGTCAGACTCCAGTTCTTGGAAATCACAAGCAAAACCACTGCAAAACAACAGGCGCGACCCGAAAGGCGTTACCTGGCCAACTTACCCGTCCCCTTTTGAAGTTTTAGTTTGGTCAGGGCGAGAATAGCGACAGTGATGAAAATCAGTAAGATGAGAGCTGGTAGCACAACTGGGAGCAGGCGTGATTCACCTGATGAGCTGGAAAGATGGACCATCAGAATTCAACTGGATTTTTGTTCGGTTACGGGATGGCTGAAGTAGCTCAATGCAGGCTGTTGTTTTTACATCAAAGAGTATAAAAGAGTTATAAACTCTGACTAAATCAAAGGAGAACAGTCAACAAAGTCAAGTAGAGATGAAATAATCTGATCTGGAGCTTGGCTGATGAGGAAGTAATTTCTACAGCTACCTCTGCTCTACCTTGTGGGGTTCATGCCCCCAGATGAACGAGTCCCTCCAAAAGAAAAATGAGCTGTTTTAATCATACAAATTCACAAGCGAGGTTCATGCTCTTTCTTTGCAAGTTGTTGTAGACCCTCATGCTGTTGGAGAGTGTCTACGTGCTGTTTCCTTGCAAAAATGCTATCGGAGCTTCACAGGCAGACGGGGCTTTGCCAGGAATGGTGCAAAAGCACCGGGTTTGCATCCAGAGGGCTGGAGCACCTCTCCTGTGAAGACAGGCTGGGAGAGTTGGGGTTGTTCAGCCTGGAGAAGAGAAGGCTCCGAGGAGACCTTATTGTAGTCTTCCAGTACTTAAAGGGGGCCTACAGGAAAGCTGGAGAGGGGCTTTTTACAAGGGCATGTAGTGATAGGACAAGGGGCAATGGCTTTAAACTGAAAGAGGGGAGATTTAGATAAAATATAAGGAAGAAATTCTTCCCTCTGAAGGTGGTGAGACACTGGAACAGGTTGCCCAGAGAAGTTGTGGCTGCCCCATCCCTGGAAGTGTTTAAGACCAGGTTGGATGGGGCTTTGAGCAACCGAATCTAGGGGAAGGTGTCCCTGCCCATGCCAGGGGGGTTGAACCAGGTGATCTTTAAGGTCCCTTCCAACACAAACCAGTCTACGATTCAATGAAAATCTGACCCTTTATACAAGAGCATGATTTGTGATTGCTAACACACTCTCCTCTTTCTGGCTGGATGGCAGGGAGATATGGCTTGAGGGAGGCTGGGGGTGGAGAGGACGGTGTTTCTCATGCTGGGGGACACGGGACAGATGTGAGCTCCGAGGTGCATGGAGGGACAGCTCAGGATACTGACTGGACTTGTGGGCTTTGTGCTTTATCTTCAGTTATGACCGATACTGCAATATCTGATGCACCTGCACCAACTATGCCAGTCACGTTGCCCGCTGCTGGATGGTGGCCATAGCTGGAGTGAAAGAGGTAAGAGCTACTCACAGCCGTCCTGTGGAACAGGAAGCACAGAAGGTAAATTCACCAGGGAAACCACTTGCAGTGGGGTGAGCGCAGGACTCGCTGTAGAGAAGTGCCACGGAATAATTACTGGCCAAAATAGCCCACAGCCTTTTGATTGACCTTGTCCAAAGATAGCTCCTTATGCAACACAGAGCACCCAAACACTACCCTGGTTGCTGGCTGCCTGTGAGGACTTGGATAACACGTACAGTGAAGTGTGTAGCAGGTACTGATTCACCAGTGTTATTGCTCAAGCCTCATGTTTCCTAATGTCCTCTCCCCACGCTGAGCAAAGCAAAACAGACAGGAGCACGTCTATTGACCCTGGCGTCTGGTCTACAGGAGCGACCAGCACCAGACTTGGAGATAAGTTCAAAGACACATGCCACAGATGGACAGGAGACAGCTTTGCCTTCTGCTTTTCTAATTACTGATGTCTCCAATTGGTGTTTTCAACCTGCAACCTGTGCACAACCTATGTAGAGCCCTGGGAAACGGAGCAGATGGGTTGTAAACCACCAAGCTAGTGCCAACGAGAAACGTGGCCATGACCTTACCTCTTGTGATAGATTTCACCTGGGGATGTTACAAAGGTGGCGGGGGCGGCAGTTGGCAGTAGGGTGCTGGTGCTCTCGGTGACGGTGCCCATCGCGTACGTCAGGCCCGTGATGCTCCGCTGCGTGGGCGTGCTGTGGGCGGCCAGACTTGGTGATAAAGTGGGTTTCACAAGAGTGGATGTTTCTGGGTCTTGTGAAGAGCAGATTTCTACAGAGAAAATTATTCTGTGGCTTGAATATCGATCTTTTTATGAAGACTGTGTAGATTTCATAGAATCATAGAATCATAGAATCATAGAATGGTTAGGGCTGGAAGGGACCTTCAAAGGCCATCTAGTCCAACCCCCCTGCAAGGAACAGGGATATCTCCAACTAAATCAGGTTGCTCAGGGCCTCATCCAACCTGGCCTTGAACGTCTCCAGGGATGGAGCATCCACCACAATTTACCAAAGGTTTATGCATTTCACTTTGCATCTCAGTATGAAAAAATATGTAGCACGATATAACCAAAGCCGAGAATTTCTATTTTCCTTTGATTCTCACAGAAAGCAGCTTGGGAGTATTAATGAAAACCCATTAATACTTAGCAAATGTTCCTACTTTAACCCCACTATTTCTGTCTTTGCCAGCAGAGCAGTTACATGGATCTGTGCATTTACATGCTGCAGCTTCTAAAACTACAAGATAACCTTCAGTTCATCTTCAGGGCAAAGCACACGTCTTGCTAGGATCAGGGTGTCGCACGCTAGGGGTTTGCATCATAAATAGTCAATCATATAATTCAAATTAAACTTCCTCCGGAAGCTCAGCTTACATCCCTGCCTCTGAAAACCTTTACCATCACTTCAGTTACTCACCAATAACTATAAAGCAAAAGGTATAGCTGATGTTTCTCATAATGGTGTTATATTCATGCATAGCACAAAGGAGAGTCTCTTCTCCTCACGCCCATGAAGGGGCAGAGGAAAGACTGATTTAGACAAAGAAAAGGGATTTGTTATGTTCCAAGCCACCCCACCACCTACCCTGCTGGATGAGCAGCTTCACAGAGGACGTGTGCTCTGTGTGCCCGTTTTTAGCCCCGCACCAGTACCATCCTGCGTCCTCCTCTCTCAGCTGGCTCATCACCACCGTGTAAGTCCCGTTTTCCTGGTCGCTGCTGGCTATTTGTATTCGCCCTTCGTAGGACTCGTGCACAAACCCGTCCACATCCAGGAGCAGCGAGCAGCTCACTTCCTTCCACCTGCACAAATACTTCTTCTCGTAGTTGCCCTTGGGATCATAGTGGCACTTGAAGGACAACGAGCCTCCCACTGTGCCGCTGAGAAATCTTGGTCTCTTGGGAAGAGTGGAGGCTGCAGGTTGGAGAGGATTGCATTAGCACTTCATGCCCCTCATTCTGGGCTGCCAGGGACCCGTGCAGCCCCCAGCGCCCCGTCCTACCTGCAGTCACCTGCAGAGCCACCACCAGTGGGCTGTCCCGACCACTCAGCCTTCCCGTCCCGCACTGGTACAGCCCCGAGTCTTCCTTTCTTAAGTCATTTATCAAGATTTTGAAAGCTCCAGAGCTCTCCCGAGGGGTGATAAAGATCCGTCCTTGGTAACTCTTCCCCACGTAACCATCGGTGTCGGCTATGAGAGTGCAGCCAGTTCTCCCCAGTTTGCACCAGAACCTCTTCTCGCTGCTTTGGGTGTCCCCGGGTGGGCACAGAACTGTGACAGAGCCGCGGAGCTCTCCCTGGACGAGCTCAGTTGGCCCCAGTGGACTGGCATCTGTAGGGAGAGAGCAGGACAGGCACTGTCCGGCGCACATCCACGCAGGAGAGCGTCCTTTTACATTCATGAACAGCCGATTTGGTCAAATCTGGGTACTTTTATACCCCATCATCGTAAATATCTGGTTAGTAGCATGGGGTAGAAAAAGTCGATACCCTTGTTGTGTGCAGAGAGCATGAGCCAACACTCCAGCATATGGCCCCAACCCACTCCCTGCGAGCCAGGCTGCCCCCTCCCCTGCCAGCATCCTATCTGCCAGCATCCTACCTGCCAGTACCGTCAGGTTCAGGCTGACGTACAGGTCTCTGTTGGTCACACCAATGCCACATCGGTAGGTCCCTGTGTCGCTCCTCTTCAGCCCTGTCATCGTCACAGTGAAGGTGCCGTTCTGGGGGATGTCCTCGAGAGACACTCGCCCCGCGTGGTCCTTCGAGGTGTAGCCGGTTGTGGAAATGATGGTGTAACAAACTCTGCTTCCTGCTACCTTGCACCAATATTTTCGGTCGTATTTGTTGGCTGGTATGATGGAGTAGAAGCACTGATGGGTGACTGATCCTCCAATCTCACCCGTCAAAAACCTGGGTCCGTACAAGGAACCTGAGACAGGCTCTTTTTGGGAAAGAAAGAAACAGAAGCTGTTGGTTACTTGGAGACAGCCGGCTCCTCACCTACCTAAAAACCAGCACGGCTTCTCTGGGTCAGGGGTGTCGTTATGAGTGGGACATCCGGCTCAGAAAGTTCAGAGCTTATTTTGGATGTGGTGTGTTACCTTTCTTGAGTGCCACACTATCCACCCGAGGATACCGGCGGTGCAGAGCCACTGCCCCACACCATGGCACAAACGGGGAAACCCTCGATGCCCCTTACAGGATGCCCAAAACCCCCATCAGCCCTGACAATCCTGCCTGGAGTTAAATGTCAAGGGCAGCAGTTAACAGCAAACATCTAAGAATTAACCTCTAGCAGTGGCAACTCTGCCTGATGTGGCAATTTTCTTCTGCCTGCAGCGGTGTTGCACAGGCACAAGCAGCGGTCTGCAGTGCCGAGCAATGCAGAGCTGGGATTCTCCAGCACTGCCGTGCCTTTGCCAGGTCTCTGCAGATTGTAGTGAGCAGGGAGGTTTGAGCAGTTCCCATTTTGCAGGTGGAGGTGTCTAGTGTAGAGGATTAAGCCAGGGATGTACCCGTGGCCCCAGTTCCAGCTTTGCCTGTTCTTGCCAGCGGAAGCGGCTGCA